CGATAATCAAGCGATGACGGATATAGTTAGCTCTCAGGAAGTTAGAAATCCAACTCAAATTATCTATAATTTTCATTTGTTTATTTCATTTCGTCCTGACCCCGTAACATTCTAAACATATTAAAATTTACGAATATAATTTAGTTTTCGCCAGAATTACAATTTAAATATCAAATTGTAACAAAATTTTACGCATGACGGATATAGCCGTGATAACACAAAATTCTGCCATTCTTGCATGACGGATATAGTCGTCAAACACACTTAACTGGTTAAATTTTTTTCAGTATTTTTTAACAGTATACGAATTTGCATGAAAACGCAGTCTGGGTATGACCGAACGAGCGGAGAGACCCTCGACTTCTGTCTCTCCCGGAGACCTTGAACCGCGCTCCTCGGTTGTGGAGCCGTTCGCCTAGGTCGAAACGAGCCTAACCGCGAGCCAAGCTGCACTTATCTTCCCCGCTAGCTGCTCGATGAGTTTAAAACGCGTTTCCACGCGAAGGAATTCCGGAAAGTAAACTTCTCGGAAAAGAGCTGAAGCGAACTTTAGAATAGAATGGGGTACAAAGAGAAAAAATGAGGACGCTTCGTTGAAGAGTGAAGAAAGAAATTTGACGATATAGCCAGAAGGCAAGAGAGATTAAGACGATCAGCAAGCATGTCTTTGACCATACGGTATCCTATCCTACTTGCTGCGAAGTTATTTCGTTTCGCGCGTAGAGTTTCGTCCATATTTTTCTTGATATCTTTATTATTCGAAATTGTCGATGCACGTTACATTATTGCGGAAGAACCGGTCCAACGAGTAGGAATAATTCATAAGAGAAAATTCGTAGGCAAGAATAGAAACGGTGGAAGTAAGCGTGAAAAGGTTTTGCCAATGGCAAAAGTGTTTGAAGCCTACTTGCTCGGTTGTCACGGTTTGGTCGCATTTCACTAGCCGCATCATTTTTTCCTGCCGTCACGCACGTATCTTTGTAAACGATACGTATCGATCGAGACCACTTGACTCCCGACTGACGCAACAGACTCGATTCGAAACATCGACATTTTTTACGATTTCAAGCCCTGATTCGGTTAATCACCAAGATAATTCATTCCGCATCTGTCGGTGAAATCATCGATCGCTGCTGGTTTATCAAGGAGCTTATCATATGTAACGAATGGATTATGAACCTTTGCGCTCTAGTTAAACAATCGATACCACGGTTCGTCGACCCGCAGCTTGGAAATCGCGCATTTTCACTATTGACGATTGTTAAAAGTTGCTTTCTTACATTCAACTAGTAGCAGTGACCTCGTTTAGATTAAATAATGGAAATAACCCAATTTACGTATTGATCGAAAAAAATTAAAACTGTTTAGAATTCTGTAGAAGTTTTTTAGAATGTCACAAAAACGAAATTGAAGAACAAAAAGCAACGAGCTGGCATTTCATAGGAATCTGAGTGTTAGGCGTGGTGCCGGAGAAAAACAAACAGTTGGCAGGAATTTTCCATGAATGAAGGAGTCGAACGTGATTCTATGTTCGCGTACGCTCGCACGGTTGCGATATATCCGATGGATTCGATGGAACACACCTGGGCGCGTTGCGTTCAATCTCGCCCATTGTCTCTATTTTCTTTCTCGTGGTAAGGTGGCCGCAAATGTCGGACCAGCGAATCTAACGGTTCCCATCGCCGACTCGCGATGCAGGAACGCCAAAGGCTAATCGAATCAGCAACGATCTGAGCTAAACATTTTTTAAATATCTGTTCAGAATTCACGACGGCGATGTCCATTCTCAAGGAGCAGAAAACGTACCCTCTGAAATCCAAGGAGAAACAGCTAATCCTAATTGCCCGTTGTCTCGTTGAAATAAAAATAATTGGCGAGGCAGTAAAATCTAATTGTTTTTTTTTCGGGTTCGCACCGGGTCGAGATACTTTATTAAACAAATTTTCTAAGAGCGTACACTTAAATTAAACGAGTCACGCAGCTGTCAGCTGCAATTGCGACTCGAGGTATTACGAGGCTAAACTTTTTCAATCCACTTTCTAAACTATATCCACGTTGATTGTTGAATAAAGTTGTTTTAAGTCAAGGCTGAAATTTTTTTCTAAGAGATTACATAAATCGTAAAGCTCGTGTTCGTTTAATCGCGTATTTCTTTCGTTATCGAAGG